CATGATGGCCAGGCTGGTCTTGAACTCCTGACCTCAGGTGATCCACCCACCTCAGCCTCCCAAAGTGCTAGGATTACAGGTGTGAGCCACCACACCCGGCCTCAAAGGATTCTTTATGTATTTTTTTACTTTCTGAATTTTTATGAGTGTATATTGCTTATTTTTAGGAGAGTTTAACACACTAAAAAGTACAAGGAATAATATAACAGAAACCCATATTCTCAACATCTAGGATTAACAATTACAGTTGGCCCTCCCTATCCACACGTTCCCAAATCTTCACAGATTCAACTAGCCCAGGATCAAAAATGAAGTTAGGACTATGATGGTTGCACCTGCAGTAAATGCGTACAGACACTTTTCCCTGTCATGACACCCGAACCAACACAGTGTAAGAACTAGTTACACAGCATTTAGATTGTATTCGGTGTTACAAGTAATCTAGAGATGATTTAAAGTAGAGGGGAAGACGTGTAGGTTATATGCAAATACTATAGAGTTTCATATCGGGGTCTTGGGAGATCCTGGAACTAATCCTCCATGGATACCAAGGGATGACCTTATTAACATTTTCTCTAATTTGCATCAAAGCTTTTTATGTATGCATATTTTGAATTACAGAAGTAACATGGATACAGTAACTATTAAAGGTGGAGGAGGAGGAAGAAGAAAGAGAGGGGAAGTAAAGAAAGAAGGAAAGAGGGAGAAAAAGAGATGAGGAGAGAGAACTAACCACTCATAAAGCAGAAGTGACTTTCCAACCAGTTCCAGGACGATCAAGCTTATCTGCCTCACCTTCTTTTCTGAAACAGCCTCCCTCCTGACTTTTTTATGTTCACATGCATACATATGTATCCATACATATATGGATTGTTTTGTGTTTCATTTGCATGGATATCACAAAGTTTTATTCAACTTGCTTTTTTTCACTTATCACTATGGTTCTGAGTATCTATGCATGTTGACATATACAGATCTATTTCAGTCCTTTTAATAACTGTGCAGTATTCCATCTTGTAAAACTACCCCATTTCATCTAATCATTTCCCTATTAAAGGACACATAGGCTATTTCAAATATTTTGCTAGTAGAAACAATGCTACAATTGACATCTTTATCCATAAGTTTGTATGTGTTCTTGGGTAGACATGTTTTTAATTTTACTGGATATTGTCAAATTGCTCTCCAAAGTACCTCTGCAAATGTAAACCTCCTCCAGCAGTGCATAATGCCCATATTCATGCAAAAACTTGATACAATCATACTTGAAATTTTTGCCAAATTCCCTCATGACTTTTAGTTTTGGTATCTTGATTTCATATGCCATTTTGATATACAAGTAAAATTGAACACTTGTTTCTATGTTTACTAGCAACTGTGTATTTCTCATCTATGAGATAACTTCATATCCTTTACCCATTTTTCCATTGCATTTTTTCTTTTTCACGTGTGGTTCTTTACATATGTTAAGACCTAAACTTTTGATATTGGTTAAAAATCAACATTTTTATAGAGTTGTTGATCATGGAGAGAGTTTCAATATTGAAATCGGCCAATTGTGTCTTGTTTCAGAAAGTTCCCTTTGTATCTTCTGCAATTTTACATCTTTATTTATCAAATTTAGACACTGAGTCCTTCTGGAATATATGTTTCGTATGTGGTCTGAGTCAATGGTGATCGATTTTGTCTGTAAGCAAAGATAGCAATGTCATTTATCAATAGTCCATGCCGTTGCACGCATCTCCCAAGCCTTTCATGTCACAGCCTCCCACATGTGGCTCTCATGTGCCCTCCCTCCACCTGCCTGACCACCCTGTGCTGGCCCACTCTGCCTCCATTCCTACTACTTTATAACATGCCTTGATGTCTGATACAGAAAAATCTCTTTTATCCTTTCTCTTTATAATCTCCTTGGCTATTCTTGCCTTTATTCTTCTATATGCATTTTTTCTAATTTTATTTGGTCCTAAGAATAAAGGTATTACAATGACTTGGATTTAAATTGCAATTGAATTATAGGTTATTTGGACAGACCAACAGCTCTGCAAAAGTTAAGTCTCTCAATCCACCAATGCCGTATGTCTCTCTGTTCTTGTCCTCCCAGGTGGGCTTTTATCATTTTCCCCATGAAGATTTTACACCGTTTTGCTATATTTGCTCCAAATTGGTTAGACTTCTGCTTGTATTGTAAGATAGATCTTTTTTCTTACATGTTCTGCTTGGTTCTGCCATATACAGGGTTGATTCAAAGCAAAGTAAGATCAATTATTTTACAGAAGCAAAGAAGCTAGAGCTAGTTTTTTGGGGGTAGAAAGCAACTGGTTGGAGGTTGGGCCTTCCAGGCAGAGGTAACAGAAGATCTCATTTGAGCTACTGTAAGCAGCTTGACTAGGCTGAGTGGCATGGAAGCTCGGTGGTAGAAGGGGAGATCCAACACCTGGGAGGAGGCCAGCCCTCAGTGGAACTCCCAAGTCAAGCCCACGATTGTGATGAGGGGAAGGCACAGTTTCTCTCCATCAATCCCCCGGTTTGACCAAAGAGATTTTCTCCAAACTTCTCATGGTCCTGACCCATTTTGAGAAGACAGACATGGAGGCAGCCTTGGCCTTAGAGGGAATGCATCCTTAGTAATGCAGAAAAAAGGAAAAGAGCTAATTCTTGGGCTTTTAAAATGAAAATACACTTTTGGACTTTATAGAAGAGATAATAGTTTCAGAGAATAGATAAAGTGGTGTGGTACAAAGAGTCTCCAAACAGAGCAAGAAAGAAGAGAACCAGAAGGGAAGCCAGAGAGTACAGACAGCTGGAGGTGTCTCCAGAGATCTGAGCATCAGGAGGACCTGGGTGCATCTCCAGGGGGTCCCAGTGGGCAGTGGGAGCCTAGAGCACTGTCGGAGGTGTACATCCAGGCAACTGGGTTTAGGACAGCCTTCCAGGGCTCCTGGGCATGGGCCTGGGAGTATCCCCCAAGATGTGGAAGAGCTTCAGTAGTTTCCAAGTTCCCAAAGAGCCAGAGGTATTTAAGAAAACACAGCCATGTAACTTGTGGTCCCAAGAGGGGCCTGAAAGTAGCTGAAGAAGAGATACCTGGCACGGCCCTCTCCCTCAGACCATCCATCAACAGCTGGGACCGGACCACATCACACACAGGTGTCAGCACTAGCACTGATTCAGCTCCTACCATGCGTCACTGTTCTGAGCACTGAGCATAAAGTCACCCATTTAGCCAGCACTGCCCACAAGACAGGCAAGAGAAGAGGAGCCTGTGCCTAGACCCCATGCATTAGGGAACATGTCACAAGTACAAACAAAATTACATATAAAGAGCATACATGGAAGTGCCTTGTCATTCATGATTGGCACTCCACACTGACACAGTATGGTTCATCTGTGGTTGGCTGAATAATTCCCCCCACTAAAAACATGCACATCCTAATTGCCAGAACCAGTATATGTTACCTTAGATGGGCATTTGCAAATACAATTTGAGGAAGCATTTTGAGATGGGGCCATTATCCTAGATTATCAGGGTGAGACCTACATGTCATCATCACTAGTATCCTTTTGAGAGGGAGGCAGAGTGAGATTTGACACATTGGGGAAGGGAGAAAGCAATGCAACCATGAAGGAAAGATTGGAGTGGTGTGGCCACAAGCCAAGGAATGTAGCCTTCAGAAGCTGCAAGAGTCAAGGAACAGAGTTCCCCTGGAGCTTCTTGAGGGAGTGTAGCCCTGCCAACACCTTGGCTTCAGCCCAGTGAAAGTGATTTCAGACTGCTGCCTTCCAGAACTGAGAGCGAAGAAATACCTGTTGCTTTAAGCCACCAGATTTGAGTAATTTAAGAGTAATTTTTTAAAGGAAATTTAATAGGTCATCCTCAACCCTCTGCTCATGATCAACACCATTCAGGCCCAGGTAGGGCTTCTTCACACATTTAGACTTGTGTCCTTGAAACAAAAGAGGACTGTACCCAAAGGCCATGAAAGTGTGAGGGCTTGATACCCATGCCACTTTGGAACACTGGGAAGGATGAACAGTGGAAACAACTAGATGAAAGGAAAGACAGAGGGATGCCTGGTCCAATCCTCCCTCTCAGAGGGCAGGCCTATGGTAGATTCCTAGAGGTGCCATCTGCCCGGTCCTTGCTTCTGCACATGTTCTAGTTCATGGTTCCAGAGGCATACACAGATCAGTGTGGTATCTGCAGCAATGGTGACTGAGGAACATTCTGCAACATTAAATGATTCACACTACTGTCACATTCATACATATGTTGATATAGATGTCATACACATATAACATGACACTAATCTTTTACATGGATACTCAAGGGGAATATTGAACACTAGAACTGCAAGGAGTTTCTATTAAAACCGCAATAAGGTATTTAGTTTCAAAAGTAATTAAAAACTTCACCTGTATTATTATAATTTGATGTTAATTGTTGAAATGTATTAATTATAACTTATACTTTTTTTTTTTTCGAGACGGAGTTTCGCTCTTGTTACCCAGGCTGGAGTGCAATGGTGCGATCTCGGCTCACCACAACCTCGGTCTCCTGGGTTCAGGCAATTCTCCTGCCTCAGCGTCCCAAGTAGCTGGGATTACAGGCGCGCACCACCATGCCCAGCTAATTTTTTTGTATTTTTAGTAGAGACGGGGCTTCACCATGTTGACCAGGATGGTCTCGATCTCTTGACCTCGTGATCCACCCGCCTCGGCCTCCCAAATTGCTAGGATTACAGGCGTCAGCCACCGCGCCCAGCCCAACTTATACTTTTGAACAGATTAAACAATTTGAAAGAAAAATAACTTTTTGAAAACATACATAGAAAAGAAATAACTTTAATATCTTGAATTAAAATGTTTTTAAATTTATATTTTAATGAAAATGCATTCAAATTTTCTATACCTTGAATACAACTGTATTTGATATTTTAATCCTTTAGATCTTTACCGTTACTGGAACCTAAATTCTGCAGAACTCTTAACAACATAATTCATTATGTTGTTAAAATGATGGCAAGAAAAGTAAGTTTCACGGGGAAGGAATACATGGTAAGTTATGTGTTTATTTCTCATCCAAACATCTCTGGCCCCTCCAACAACACAAGAGTTCCAGCATGGAGGAGACTTAGGTCAGGGTAGACACTCAACAAACGTCCACTGAATGAGTGAGTGAATGTGAGTGAGTTTACGTGGGGGTAAAGCCAGACAGTACAAGGCCTTGATCACTAGTCAGACAGTCTAGCGAGTGCGTCATCAGCACAGAGACTCCTCTTACACCGGGAGAGATGCTATTAGAGCCATGTTCGGGAGATCAGCTGAGCATTCGGATGCAAGAGAGACTGGAGTTAGGAGACGTCGAAAGTAACATAAACTATGCACTTTGCTTTCACTTTTAACTTTTCTGTTTTCACTTTTTTTTTTTTTTTTTTTTTGACAGTCTTGCTCTGTTGCCCAGGCTTGAGTGCAGTGGCAGGATCTCAGCTCACTGTAGCCTCCACCTGCCAGGTTCAAGTGATTCTCCCGCCTCAGCTTCTCAAGCAGTTGGGATCACAGGTGTGTGGCAACATGCCCAGCTATTGTGTGTGTGTGTGTGTGTGTGTGTGTATTTTGTGTGTGTGTGTGTGTATTTTTAGTTTTGTTTTATTTTGTATGTTAGTTTTATTTTTTGTATATAGTTTTATTATTCTCGTTTTATTTTTTGTATATTTAATTTTTAGAGACAGGGTTTTATCATGTTGAACAGGCTGATACTCCTGAGCTCAAGTGATCCTCCCATCTTGGCCTCCCAAAGGGCAGGGATTACAGGCATGAGCCACCATGCCGGGCCTGTTTTCACTCTTTTTAAGTGTGGTTCTCTTGAGCCATGGGCAGGAATGCCCTGACCTCTCCAGTGCAGGTGTGCAGTACTGGCCTCTATAAGGGGGGGCCTCTGTAAGTCATGCCCTCTGTAAGGAAGACTACTCCAGCTGTTGAGGGCAGGTTGGTGCTGGGGAAGATCATGGACCTGACGTTTCTCAGGCCTTATTCGAGTCCCAGCACCACCACTTAATCTCTGTGGATTCTTAGGTTCTCATCTTAACTTCTCTGGACCTCAATTATTTCACCTGTAAAATAGAGACAGGGCTACCTCCCTCATGAGGCGGTTGTGACATGAGAAATGGTGTGCAAGGCATACTTAGTGGGTGGTCAATAAACAGCAGCTGCTGTGTTCATAAGGCTCCAGAGCCCGCAGGCAACGAATGGCATCAATTCTGTGCAGACCCCACACTCCAGACCCCTGCTGCGGAAGGGTGGGCCAGGAGGCAGCAGCTTCGCCCTAACCATAGCGGAGAGCTTGTCAAAAATGCAGGGTCTTGGCCCTTTCCCCCAGGCCAACGGATCCGAATCAGGGCCTGCATTTCAACAAGCTCTCAGGTGACTGGTGGTGCGTAAGATGGAGTATGAGAAGCATCTAGACCAGTAGTTTCCAGTCCTGACCTTGCATTCAAATAACCTAAGCAGCTTTAAATAACCAGTGCCCCCACCCCACCCCAGACACATTAATTCAGAATCCCAAAGAATGGTGTGAACCTAGGTAGGCTTTATTCAAAAACTGCCCAGACGTCTTTCATGTCCAGGTAGGATCAAGCCTCACTGGCTGTATCGAAATATATGAAGTCTTGAGGACCTGGTCTCATTATGGCTTTGGTGGGCTCTAGGCATCTTTGCTTCCAGGAGTCCCTTCCTCTGCAAAATAATATTAAAAATTATATTTGACTATGTCTTGGTATAAAGAGAAACATGTTGATAATACACTGTAAAATATTATCTTTAATCTAAGGCTTCCTTTTTTTAACTTCTGGTTCAAAACACAAGCAGTGACACGTTTCATAGGTCCCTGAAAACAGGCAGGCCTGAGGCACTGAGCTCCTGGATATGTTGGCCCTGCTTTGGGATATTACGTAAAGGTAAGGGTGGTAAACACAGTTAATGAGAGAAGAGAGTTCTTCATGGAGCTATAAAGCTGATGGCTCACAGAAAACCTGATCCAAGGGAGAAGAGGGAGAAGAAGAGGAGGAGGAGGAAGAAGGAGAAGAAGAGGAGAGGGAAGAAGGAAGACGGAGAGGGGAGGAGGAGGAGGAAGGAGAAGAGGAGGAGGAGGAAGAAGAAGGAGGAAGAGGAGGGGGAAGGAGGAAGACGGAGAGGGGAGGAGGAGGAGGAAGGAGGGGAGGAGGAGGAAGGAGAAGAGGAGGAGGAGGAAGAAGAGGAATAGGAAGAAGAGGAGGGAGAAGGAGGAGGAGGGGGACGAGGGGGAGAAGGAGGAGAAGAAGAAGAAAAAGAGATAGAAGAAAGAAGCGAAGGGAGGAAGGTCGGTCCAGACTTTAATAAAATTCTAACCTAATGGAGGAAGTGCTGGGGGGGGTCAAGAAACACCCGCACCTGCATCTCTACAGCTACGGTGCAGAGTCGACCCAAACAGCCCCCTTCGTACCTCTACTCACTCATCCATTCTTTTCAGCGCTCGTTCTTATGTTTGTCCAGTTCATGACAGAGCCCCACACATATGCCAAACCCCAGCAATGTAAAGAGGCCGAAGCTATCATCCTTTCCTTCTATGGGCCAAATATTTGGGGCAGGCAACCCCATGCCTCATTTATTCACGACTTTCTCAAGGATGTTAACGCAAGATTGCAAGAATGACCACACTTAATTAAAGCAACATGATCAAGAAGAAATCCACGGGAAACACGTGGAAGTGCAGCAAACGCATCAGCTATTCCCCTGTAATTGCAAGCTGTGTGGTCTGACAGCTGCTCCCAAGAGAGGCTTTTTTATTTTAGAAATATGGCCTGAAAGGGTTGGTTATGAAGGCGAATCCTTGCTAGCAGAAATTCTGAGTGGACTTTCTTCACATCATGCTGTCCAAACACAGAGATGAGATTGAAAAGAGAGCGAGGAACCAAACAGAGACCACCCCACACAATGGTAAAGTCAAAACCAGTGGAAATAAAATTCGCCTCTTCATGAGCACTTTGTTGGAAGGGGAAGGGAAGAGAAAAGTGGTATTCAGAAGTTGCATTTAAGCTGAGTAATTAGAAATACAGTACCACCATTCAATGCACAAAAGAGCAGGGAGTTTGGATGTGAAAATTAAACATTTTGAATGTGAAAGTTTCAAGTAAACAAAAGATTAATTACTATATGCATCAACTTTTGCATAAAAAAAAAAGCAGCCACCAGGCCTGCATGCTTCTCTGTGATTTCCCGTGTAAAGGATAACTCCAAACTATGAGTTTTCCATAATGAGATTTTTTTAATATGAGGAAATGTATGCAAAATATATGCAGGTGGTAACATTTCATAACTAAGATGCCTTGCCAGGCAACATGCTAGAAATCACGGAAACTCAAGAAAACATGTTCGAATCTAAATTCACATTTGGTGAATGCTTTGCTTGTTCAACACACTTTATAAATACTAACTAATGCTGCTGAAATTGATGTAAAGTATTATTTCATCCATTATAGATGCAGAGAAACTCATCTAAAGAGACCCAAATGCATCAGAGAAGGAACGTGGCAGAACGGGGCCTGGAAATCTCATGTTCTCAGAAGTCATCGTCTCAATGATGAGGTCACTGGGAAAGGACCAAACAGACCATTGTAGTTTTGTGATCCCCAAGCCACAGCTGTACATGGCCTGGGGTAGGCACTTAATGATTGCATAAGGAAAGGATGATGGGAGGCAAGAGATAAATAGGGAGGGAGGGAAGGAAAGAATGAATTGGAATGGGATTGGTAGAACAGAGAGGTTGGAGAGCATCGTGGTAAACATCTCAAGAAGTTATTCCAAGGTCTTTTCCAGGGCAAAGTGATAGAGAATATGGTGGCTTTATTAGTTTGAGGGTAAGCATTAAAGGATTTATTATATGTGTTGTAGAAATCTTGAAAAAATATAAATTTCTATGTAAGATAAAGGCTATCGATTCACATCTTGTCTTTATCTTCACTGAAGTAAGTCTTTAGTCACTTCTGTCTTTTAATGTGGGTCCATTCTTGACCTAAGGGTCTCCTCTCTTCTGGACTGTGAAGTTTCCTAGGTCTTCCCTAGAGCCCCAGTCACTCCCAGTGGGATTACCATCTCGAGCACTGGCAGGTGTCCACTCTGTCCTCCGTATACACACACAGACACGGATTAATGTCCATGCAGAGAGAACGCATGTGCATCGTGTGCTGTTCATTCAAGTGACAGCTGAAGAATGGCATCCCCATCACATTCCCAGAGTGCCCAGTCCATTACAGAGCATCTATAAACAGCCACTGCAAGAGAGCTTGGCCTTGGAGAGCACAGCATTCACCCCCTAAACAAGCACAGCTGGCAATGAGGCCTGTGGCAGGTGGAATACTGGAGGCTCCCATCAGGCTGTGGTGTGCACTGTGAGAGCTTCCACCAGTGGGAGCCTGGACAGACGCCCCGGAGGGAGGGGATGTGCTGACGAGTATCGTCCCTGAGACCTGTGGAGGTTCTGGGGAAGCTGTCCTCACAAGGATAATGGAATTGAATGGCTGCTGCTAAGTGGCATCATTTATTTGAGAAAGACAATGAAAGCCTGAGAGTTATTAATCACCAACTTGAGGTGAAGCGTGCAAGTCAGAGAACCTTCCTGGCAGCACGTGAGCAGGTAGGCTCACATCTCCTTCAGCCAGATGGCAGGAAAAGCTGAAGAGCAGGCTTAGGCCTGACTTACAAGGGCAGTGAAGCTCCAGAGAAGGCTGAACGTTCAGCCCTGACAACTCTGCCATGCCAGCAGAGGAGTGGTTGTAAAGGAGTGGGACCCTAATATTTGGGATGATGACCTAATATCCAGGTCAACATCCCCCCAACAACTGTGAGAACACTCTGGGCTTGCAGAAGGGGCCCTCTCCTCCTTGTTAAAGGCTAGTGCTCCCCCCTTGCTTAAAAATGCTGCAGGACAGGGGTCCCCAACCCCTGGGTCATGAACCAGTATCCATCCATGGCCTGTTAGGAACCAGACCTCACAGCGGGAGGTGAGCAGTGGTGAGTGAGCATCACCACCTGGGCTCTGTCTCCTGATGGATCTGCAGCAGCATGAGGTCCTCATAGGAGCACAAACCCTGTTGTGAACTATGCAGGGAAAAGGTCCAGGTTGTGAGCTCCTCATGAGAATCTAATGCCTGATGATCTGTTACCGTCTCACATCACCCCCAGGTGGGACTGTCTAGTTGCAGGAAAACAAGCTCAGGGCTCCCACTGATTCTGCGTGATTGTGAGTTGCAGAATTATTTTATTATATATTACAATGTAATAATAATAGAAATAAAGTGTACAAGAAATGTAATGTGCTTGAATCATCCTGAAAGCACCCCCCACCCCCAGTCTGTGGAAAGATTGTCTTCCATGAAACCAGTCCCTGGTGCCAGAAAGACTGGGGACGCCTGCTACAGAAGCTCTGCCCCACAAGTCGACGTAGGCATCTTCTGAGGCACGCACCTCTGGGTCTCTGCCCCCACTTCCCCTCCCACCAGCCAGGCTGATCATGAGATTCAGGTCACAGCAGTACATAGATGGGGAAGTGCAGGAAATGCCTGCTACAGGAAGAAAGGCCCCCAGAGAAGCTGCAGGGCCTCACCAAGAGGCATGGGCAGGAACTGGGAGAATGTGTGGGGCTAGGTTCTGAGGGTGTGAGACTAGGACGGGCAGAACCAACGCTTGGAATAGGGAGGGTTTATCAGTGTGGGCCTGCCCATCCATGACCCAGGGTTGTAAACTCTGACAAGGCCCCTAAGCAGTGCTAACATGCTCTAGGAGGGGCTCCTAGGAGCTTGGAGGAAGCAAAGGTCTGCACTAAGTTAAGCAGAAATGCCTGGGCCACCCTCCTGCCCATGAGGGAAGGGACAGAAAGGCTCAGAGGAGTGTACCCTTTAGAGTAGGTCCAGCACATCAGCTCAGAAAGCCAACCATGCTCTTCAGCCACAGAACATGCCAGTTACCAATCAGATAAAGAACACACTGCCAAGAGGGACCCTGCTGAACCACACAGGGTGGCTATGCTGCTGTTACAGAACTAGACTCCTGAATGCAAAGAAGGTCGATGGAATCCCACAACAGAAGCTAGTGTGTCACTGGGCAGGGAGCAAGGTGGGCACAGTGACACAGGGCATCAAACCTGGAGTGGCAGCTGGAGCACCCGACCCAGCAGCAGGAATGAACACACCTGCCACAGGGTAGTTATATGGCAGCTGAAAGGGCACCTCACAATCCACGCATCCTTAACAAAAGCTTTTCTCAAGGAAAACTCGTCAGGAGGCTGCAGGAAACTGACCAATAGAAAGCCACATTTCAGCTCTGGGGCTGAGCATTTTCAGACCTGGAACCTACTGACAGAGAAAGAGGCTGAGCACCGGGAGGAAGGACCCTCCAACATCACAGCAGTGTCTACACAAACATTCTCCCCCAGATCCTCTACAAAGAGATGCATGTCATTTAAGGACCAATGGGCACAGGATCTGAGATGACATTGGTACCCAGGGAGCTACACCTGGTCCTGAACCCTCTGTTAGAGTAGAGGTGTGCAGAGGCCAGTTTTGAAGGAAGAGCTCACCAGGTCCAGCTCACAATTACTCCCCTAGGTCCACAGAACCAACCAGGAGCCCCTTCCCCAGCCTCCAAATGTAGAATTCAAACTGACTTTTGAAATTGGTAAAACTGCCACATCAGTTTCTAGTAGTCAATGGCAAGAGCTACCCCCATGGGTAAGCTCAAGTGGACGCCCCCCCCACCCCTAAACACATACTCCAATGCAGAAAATCAAAAATAACATTACATCCCATAGGAAATGCCAGAGATTAAACACCTAGAGGATGCAGGGGCTGTACCAGCACATCCCTATTGAATTCACCATCTGGCCCCAGAAAATCCTGACAGACTCTAGAGGATGACAACGGACATCCACAACTCACCCAGGCAGTTGCTGTTTGTAACCAGCGGGGAGCAGCTTTCCTGGTGCAGGTGAGCTCAGTGGCCTCTGGCCCAGAAATGCAGCCTGTTCCAGGTGAACGCATTCTTTTCCACCCTTATCAGGAAGGAGAACCAGAACAGGCTGCATTCATGTGGGACACCTGGCAGGCTGCTTGGGAGAAGAAAGCCAGATCCGAAGATTGAGGCAAGCTCAGGGGAGCAGCACGTGATGGGTGCAGGACATGGGTGCAGAGTACACTCACTGGAGCACAAGCACCGCTGGGAAGAACGAAGCAGTCAAGGATACAGCTGGCCAGGTGCTGCCGGCCCCTGTCACTGCCACCATGGTGCTGACACAACACGCAGTTTGTTGACTAGAATCAAGGCATCACCCGCTTACAGTCTGACCTTTCCTGCCCAAGGGCTTCGGCCAGCTCCACTGCCCCAGGGACCATGGCATGTTTGATTTGCCAGCACAGAACCCTACAAAACAATGCATCAGACCAAGCGTCCTACCTTGCAACAGAGGCGGGATCATGAGATCCATGGCCATCCTTTTGGGACCTACCACCCTCCAGAAAGCAGCTGGCCTGATAAAAACCATGAAACTGTCTTTCAAAAATGTAGCTGAGGCTGGGCACAGTAGCTCATGCCTGTAATCTAGGCCAGGAGTTCAAGACCAGCCTGGCCAACATGGTGAAACTGTCTCTACTAAAATTACAAAAATTAGCCAGGTGTGGTGGTGTATGCCTATAATCCCAGCTGCTCTGGAGGCTGAAACAAGAGAATTGCTTCAAAACAGGAGGCAGAGGTTGCAGTGAGTTGAGACTGCACCACTGCACTCCAGCCTGGGTGATAGAGTGAGACTCTATCTAAAAAGAAAAAAAAAAAAAAAGATGTAATTGAAATGGCAGCTTGTAAGCTGATCCACTGCAAGAATGGCACGCAGCAAAATCAATGATCATCAAATAGTACTATGTCCCCAGTAGGTAGAACACGTAGATTCTGAAACAATGGGCTGAATGTAGGAGCAGCCACACCATTACTCCCACTCCAGGAGTCTGTATGTCATCGTGTCCTACCACTCTGGATACACTAAAACAGACATCAGGCTCCCAAAAGTGGCCTGCGTCTGCACTCTGGGCCCCTTGCAGCAAGCATCCAGTAGGCAAGGAAAGGAAGTGCCAGCCTGAGGGAAGGCAGGAGCATTCTCAGGAGGATAAAGCTGCTGCGTGACGCGGACAGGGAAGACTCCATTCGGCACTCAGGAGACCCATCGAGGGGTTGCCTCAGACTCCCTCATCCACACTTGATGGTGAATGGACAAGAGCAGCTGCCATGGCCAGAGGAGGATGTGATGGAGGCATGAGGTCTGGGCCATCCCTCCAGGTAGGCCACCTGGAGATCGGGACTAGAGATGGAGAATTTTCAGCACAGAGGCAGTGGCTGATGCTAGGAGAGACTGTAGGAACCTCAGAACACTGTGAGGAGACGCTAGCAGAGGATCAGGTAGGAAGCGGCTATCGCATCGATCAAGGTAACAGAGTCTGAAACCTGTAATGCTATCGTGGGAATGGCCCATCCCATCCCCCGTCAACATCAATAACAACAAAAAAATGAACGACCCACAGGACTTGCAGGCCTGAAGAAGTGCGATGCTGCCTGGTCAGCGTTTACGCTGCTATACGAATTCGCTCGTTTCGCGGTTCTCATTCAACTCTGTGTTGTGCTCTGCTGCCTTCTACCCTCAACAATAAAAGAACATAAAATTCAGTTAATACGTGCATTTTCATTACGAACTAAAGAAACTACCCTTATTTTACCTGTTATGTTTTTAAACTCTGAGGAATTGGGATAATTTGGGGAAGGTGGCTATTGTGGGAGGTTCCAAGCCTGCCCAGTCTCTGCTCTAGCACCTTTGGGGAAGCACATCTGTCCCCGAGAGCTGCCCACGTGCATGGAGCCTGCAGGCAGCCCTGCAGCCAGCGGGAGATGGTTCTGCTTTACAGACCCACACATTTGCAAAAAAAACCACACCATCGATTTCCCTTGCTCACCAACATAGTTCTTCATTCATAAAGATTCAACCCCAAATCATCAGGTGTTTGAGGAAAATAAATAAATAAACCGTTAGAAGTCTAGATAAAGACACAGAACAACAGCCCCTGGTGAAAAGAGGAAAAATTACTGGACAGAAAAGAACTTTAAAAAGATGTCAGTGGCAAGGTCAGAGAGACTGGCTGTGCCGTTACAGCCGTCCCCAGAGAACACACTGGTTTAGGAAAGGAGGAAGCGCAGAACCAGAAAGTATCTAGGAAATTTAAAATCTATTTGTGAACATTAAATATTCAGGGTACAGGCTTAATTAAAATCTGAACACAGCTAAAGACCAAGTTACTGAAGACCGATAGCACAAGCTAAACAAGACAGGGAGAAAGAAAATATGAAAGGAAAATGAAAATGCAGAGAAGTGAAACCCGGAAGGTTCAATATCACCTAATCTCTCTCCAGAAGCAGATAACAAAGTGAGGAAAAGGATGAGTTTAAGAGCGTTTTAAAAAGACCTACATATATCCTGGTAATATTTCAGAACCCCAAGGCTAAAATAAAAACCCTAAATGCTTCTAGAGGGGAAACAAAGCCTATAAGGAATAAGAAGTCACTTGGCCTCAGATTTATCAGTAGAATGTAACATTAGAAGATAAAGGAACAAACATTCAAAAATTTTAAGGGAAAGTTCTTGTGAAACTAAAATTACATTCCAAACCATCAATCGAGTGGGGCAGTGGAAAATAAAGATATTTTCGGAGTTGTAAGACTCAGAAAGTTTTACTTCCCTTTCTGGAAAAAAAAAAAAAAATCACAGAGCAGTAAACGCCCTGCAGGTACTCTTCTCAGTACTTTTCATGTGGCGAAACTCCCTGAACCTCCACACCAATACAAAATGAAAATCCGAATTTTACAGATGAGAAAGTCGTTGGACAGAGAGGGTTACACTCTGGCAAAATGAAGAAGAAACTCAAGGGAAAAGACGCTATGCAATTTAACCCATGGTGAACCATGGAGGAGAGCAATGGAAACAAGTCTGAGGTTGACCGCTATGCTGCCCGCCTAGAAAGCAAGTGACCAACTCAAAGAGAAAGTAGGGGGGCTTGAGGCCTTCTAGACAGAAACAAACCCAATTACATATATTGCTTGATTAAAAACCTGGAAAGTCTAAAAGATGCATCTGTTTCCTCCCTCAGTGGTTAGAAAAAGCAAACAAAGGCCGGGCGTGGTGGCTCACGCCTGTAATCCCAGCACTTTGGGATGCCGAGGCGGGTGGATCACGAGGTCAAGAGATCGAGACCATCCTGGTCAACATGGTGAAACCCCGTCTCTACTAAAAATACAAAAAATTAGCTGGGCATGGTGATGTGTGCCTGTAATCCCAGCTACTCAGGAGGCTGAGGCAGGAGAATTGCCTGAACCCAGGAGGTGGAGGTTGCGGTGAGCCGAGATTGCGCCATTGCACTCCAGCCTGGGTAACAAGAGCGAAACTCCGTCTCAAAAAAAAGAAAAAGCAAACAAAAAGGAAGCAAGGGACACTAAGGTGGGGGCGGGGGAGATAGCTCCATAAAACGTGCATGGACCAAACATGGAGCAAATTTAAAGGTGGCCTAATTTTGAGCAATGGTTGTAGTTTTAAGAAAAGTGAAAATACTTTGAATCTTGACCCTTGGAAGATTATCCTTCAAATAGCACGGTTCCGTGACATGAGTACTTTTATTTGTTTTGCAATGAACGTTTTTAAATAATCATAATAAAATAAATGGTATATTTTAACTTTTTATTTTTATCACGGATTTTAAAAGCATAGAAAATGTAATTACAGTAAAACATACACATATTTTAAATCCTGATGATGTAAAAATAATGGCATAGCCAGCCAGAAAGGGAAGAGAGGTGGGACGGATAAGGGAAGAGAGGTGGGACGGATGAGGGCGCTAATTTTCTCACTGACAGATAACATCTACAGTGGATGGAACTACAACACCGAAGGTACAATCCATGAACCAAATAGGTAATAAGCTAGACTTCATTAAAATCTTAAAAACTTGTTCTGCAAAAGATACTGTCAAGACAATGAGAAGAAAAAAAATGGAAAAACATGTATCTGCAAAAGACATGTCTGACAAAGGACTGTCACCCAAAATATACAAAGAACTCTTAAAACTCAACAAGCAAGCAAGCAGCCCAACTGTAAAACAGACCAAAGACCTGGACACTTCACCAAAGAAGACATACAGCTTGCAAGTAAGCATATAACATCACGTGTCACTAGGGAATTGCAAATTAAAACAATGAGATATACACATAATAGGTAATAACAATAATCTCCACTATTCGAATAGTGCAGATCTAAAGCTGAAGGGTCAAGAAATAGAGAAGCACGTTACTTAAAGTTTTGAAGCTACAGATAGATTTTACAATAAATACATTATCAGCAAGAATCAACACATGGAAGAGAGATGGTAGAGTACGGAAGGGCCCTCAATTATTTATCTGTCCTAGTGAGGAGTTAATATACACTGTCCAAAGCTGACTGATCAAGAATAAGGTAAAAATAATTTGAGATGAAGTTCTGATGATAATGCCTAAAACCAGTGAGAGCAAGAGTACTTATCTTTGGGGCATGGGTGTCCAAGCCTGCGGAGATGCCTAGAAAGAGACTTACTTTATTCTGTATCCTTCTGGCTGCTTGGATTTTTTTTTTTTTAATAGTGTGCGTGTAGTATTTTCATAATTTAAAAAGCAATTTTTTAATCAGTAATTTTTCTGTTAGGGAAGAAAACAGCTGAAGGATTAAGTTTATGGAAATTTTTTCTAGAAGCTTAATAATAGATGTCAATAACAAAGCATCACTGAAAATAATGTATTTTTGAATTTTGAAATGCCTCTTAAGTTTTTCTCAAATTGCAAATCTCCCTGAGGGTGTTCCTCCAAGTCCTACTTATCAGACGTACTACTAAGTTTAAATTATAAAATTCTTACCTGTAATTGAAGCCAGCTGCAACCTTTTTGACAAGGCCTAATTGCCAATAATGATTTAAGTGCTCCAAATTCACGTGCCACGATTGTTTTAAATAGGGGAACCTCTCACAGCTTTCTCTGAAAAGAACTGTTCATCTTTGCTGCTGACTTATCAAATCCTTCAGTCACCTGTTTGCCATCATTTTCATGAGTTGATAACGTGTTTATTAGAGTCATAATGTGCAGGTGGAAGAATAAAGGTCTCATTTGATGGCACTGGAATTTCATCTAACATTTCTACATGGAAAAAGCTGTAACAAGCCTCAGGCTTGGCTTAGCAGAGAAAGACAATAAAGGCAGGCATTATTTTTTTAATTTGAAGCAAATGAAAAGTTAGCATTTGGCCGGGCACGGTGGCTCACGCCTGTAATCCCAGCACTTTGGGATGCCGAGGCGGGTGGATCACGAGGTCAAGAGATCGAGACCATCCTGGTCAACATGGTGAAACCCCGTCTCTACTAAAAATACAAAACATTAGCTGGGCATGGTGGCGCATGCCTGTAATCCCAGCTACTCGGGAGGCTGAGGCAGGAGAATTGCCTGAACCCAGGAGGCGGAGGTTGCGGTGAGCCGAGATCGCGCCATTGCACTCCAGCCTGGGTAACAAGAGCGAAACTTCGTCTCAAAAAAAAAGAAAAGTTAGCATTTATTTAACATCAGTAACTTTAGATGACATGACTTGTAATGTCCCCTTAGCCTGCTGCAAATCAAGGATCCCTGGTGCTAAACAACAGACAGGGGGCTGCTGCTGGGGATGGCTCCTCCTCGCCCCCGCCTCCCTGACTCCTTTCACTGCATCTCATCTTTTCTTCTCTTCCTCAGCATTGCAGCAGTTCCCCTTGGCTGCTCATGTTACAACGGCTGGTTGACAGGAAAGGAGCAGTTTGGCAGCATATATTCAAAAGTGAACATAACCTTTCACTTTGCAATTCTACCACTAAAAAATTATCTAAAGAAAATAAGAATGGATAGGCCACACATGGTGGTTCACACCTGCAATCCCACCATTTTGGGAGGCTGAGGTGGGCAGATGACCTGAGGTGAGGAGTTCGAGACCAGCCTGACCAACACGGAGGAAACCCTCATCTCTAATAAAAATACAAAATTAGCCAGGCATGGTGGCTCATGCCTGTAATCACAGCTACTCAGGAGGCTGAGGCAGGAGACTTGCTTGAACCTGGGAGGCGCAGGTTGTGGTGAGCTGAGATCACACCATTGCACTTCAGCCTGGGCAATAGGAGTGAAACTCTGGGAGGGAGGGAGGGAGGGAGGGAGGGAGGGAGGGAGGGAGGGAGAGAGGAAATAAGAATGGATCATGTGCAAATTCCTAGCTGCAAGGATTTCAATCAAAGTATTGCTTATAATGCTAGGGAACTGGGAACAATCTGAAGTGTCAGCCACAGGCAGCTGGTCTAACTCCTGAGAGTTCAGACATGGGGACGAAGGACACCTGGACTCCATGGCCTGGAAAACTGTTTTCAGAAAGAGGTCCGATCCAGACTCCTAGAGAGGGTTCTTGGATCTAGTGCAAGAAAAAATTTGAGGTGAGTCCACAGAGTAAAATGAAAGCAAGTTTATTAAAAACATAAAGGACTAAAAGAAAGGTGGGCCATGGAAGGGAACTCCACAGGCAGAGCAGCCTTAGGGCTGCTGGTTGCCCATTTCTACAGTTATTTCTTGATTATATGCTAAATGAGGGGTAGGTTATTCATGCCTCCCCTTTTTAGACCATACAGGGTAACTTCCTGATGTTGCCATGGCATTTGTAAACTGTCATGGCGCTGGTGGGACCGTAGCAGTGAGAATGATCAGAGGTCACTCTCATCACCATCTTGGTTTTGGTGGGTTTTGGCTGGCTTCTTTACTGCAAACGTTTTATCAGTAAGGTCTTTGTGACCTGTGCCAACTTCCATCTCATCCTGTGACTTAGAATGCCTTAACCTTCTGGGAATGCAACTCAGAAGTCCTCAGCCACATTTTACCCAGCTCCTATTCAAGATGGAGTTGCTCTGCTTCAAACACCTCTGACACTTACAAGGGTGTGACCTTTAGCCAACTGCTTAAGCACTGTCAGGCTCAAAATCCTCCTGTGTCAAATGAGAACAACAGCACCTTACTCATCTGATCACTGGGGGATCAAAAGTCCTCAGGAACACAAAACGCTCCGCACAGTGCCTGGCCTGTTGTCGGTATCTGATAAATGCCATTTTATGATAATAGTGATCATAATAAGGCTTGTTCTAGTATTAAACCATAACAATCATGTTGAAGGGTAAGACAGACTGAGGGAAAGAAACATCCCTGTGGGAATTCAAGTCAGGAATCAAAAAAGTAGCTGTTCGTGACCTCATTAAAGTAACAGATGCAAAATAAAAGACAAATGATCAAGGCAAAAAGTTAATGGCGATTATTCCTGAGAGGTAGAATTATGCTGATTTTATTTTCTTTTTGATTCTCTGTATGTAAAACTTTCTACAAAGAAAGAATTTTACTTTACTAATTAAGATAAATGATATTTTTTAATTCATTCTTTAGATGACTGTAGTTCACAGACTTTCAGAACCAGAAGACACTTTAAGTATGATGTACAGAACTGAAGCATCTAGAATGGAGTGCTGCCCCCACTGGATCCTGAAGGGAAGTAGCCCCAGAGCCCAGGGGTCCCCACAGCCTCTCAGTGTAATTGGAATTAGACTCAAGGCATAGTTATCTGGGCATCTGTAAGGACTAAATCTTGGCTATCCCCTTTTATCCCAGATACGTGGACTGGCACATGGTAGGATGTCAGTAAGTATTTGTTGAGTGAATACAGATATGAATACGAGTCACCTGTGCTCTCATAAGCGTTAGAAGACATGTGAACAGCTCTGAAAGCATCAGTTAGTCTCCTGGGGGTATTTGAGAAGCTTCCAAGTGAAGAAATAGAGAAATCAGGTCCCAGAAGGTGAATTCAACTGAGTTCTGCCAGACTGATTGAACCAGAGTGAATCCATCTTCAATAGGGGCTTGGTAAAATGAGGCAGAGACCAGCTAGGCTGCATTCCCAGGAGGTTAGGCATTCTTAGTCACACGATCAGATAGGAAGTTGGCACAGGTCACAAAGTGGATGAGACGGAAGGGCGGCACAACAAACAAGTCACAAAGACCCCACTGGTAAAACAGGATGCAGTAAAGAAGCTGGTTGAAACCCACCAAAACCAAGACAGTCATCCTCAGTGCTCATCATACGCTATCATAATGAACTGCGTGCTAAAAGACACTCCCACCCGTGCCATGACCATTTAGAAAGGCCATGCAATGTCTAGAAGTTACCCTATATGGTCCAAAAGGAAGAGGAACACGCACTTCCAGGATATCTCTGCCCCTTTCCAGGAAAACTCATGAATAATCCACCCATTGTTTCCCAGATGATCAAGAAATAACCATTAAAATAGCCAACCAGCAGCCCTCGGGGCTACTCTCTCTAGGGCACTCCATTCTTTTGTTTCTTTGCTTCTCTGATAAACTGCTTTCACTTACTCTGCTTTCCCTTTACTCTGTGGACTCCTCCCTGTAGACTCTTGCATAGGATCCAAGAACTCGCTCTTAGGGTCCATATCAGGACCCCTTTCCAGTAACAGTTCCAGACCAGGTAAACAGCCGTGGAACTTAAAACACACTTTGAGTTGGAGAAGAGGCTTCTGTCCTCACCTGGCAAAACCTAACGTCTGTGCAGGAAAATGTGCACGGAAGAAAGCAGGAAAGGCCACTTTCCAGGCCAGGTGGTGATTTGAGAGAGTGATTTAAGATACATTGCTAATAGCTGATAATGGTTTAATAGTTTCTTTCTTTCTATTTTTTTTTTTTCTTTCTGTCCAGGTAACATTTTCATTTTCACCATCAGGGCCTCTCTAACTTCACCCCTCCTCAGGAGAGAATTGCAGGTAATTAGGGCAGTCAGCAGGAGGGATCTCAAGGCAGAAGGGCCTCTCAGGCCTCTGTAAATCACCTTCTCTGACAGCTGACTTCCCCACTGGCCTGCAGCTTGCCAGGGATACCATAAAAGATACCTATACGCCCTGTCAGCAAGCACCCAACCCAGCCCAGTCCCACCCTCTCCAACAAACATGCTCTTAGGGACATTTTTATGAGGGATTTTTTTTTTCATTTAATCACATTATCCATTTCATCTGCTCTTCTGTACCTCTTACAATTAGGGAGAGGTTGAAAGAGATTTAAAAAAAAAACACAGTCACTGATTTCCCAAGACTTGATTTTTCACCTCTAGTGCCCTCTCATAAGCGCTTAAGACGTTACACTTTGTTCTGCTGGGACCCATTATTTCCCTGGGAGACTCGATGTCTGTTTTGATAGGAGCAATTTATCACCCTGGCGAAATCATACTACTGTTTGGAAGGCAGGGCCAGGATTTATGAATCCTTTTTCACCGAGAATGAATTTAATTCCCAGGGGTGGAAGTGGTATTAAAAGATTTGGCCGGCTGCACCTGTGGCATCTGAGACGGTGGCTTCCAATATGAGTGGCGTGTTCACCCCCGTCCTGTGCTATGAAAGCTTTCACTTTCCTAATGGAGGAACCTCCATGAGGGCATGAAATTCAATTCCGTTGGGTGTGAAACAGTGGCTGTACTTAATAATGAATTCACATCAATAAAATTGACTTGTAGAGCATTTCACTCTATTTTTAGAGCATATGGGTCTTTAAACTCTTATTTACTGAAGACGCTTTTTCAAAATATCCATTTTTAAAGCACCAAGCCAATTAATGATATATTGGGACCAATTCCTTCTTGCCATTTATAGTGTTCTGTTTCCTTGCATGTGTTATAGCCCAGGTAAGGTGTCACAGGGAGCACCTTGGAATCACCTGGGGAGCCTGACAAGCTATTCATCAGGCTGGGTCCTACCCCAAAAGTGTTTAAAACAAGGTCTAGGTACAGTCTCAGCATCAGGAATTTTGTTTACGCTTCCCAGGTGATTCTAGTGTATAATCAAGTTTGAGAACCACCGCTGTAAGATATTGTTTGATATTTTTGAAACAAGCATAGCTGTTTCAAATAAGACAGCCTTCCTACAAATGATCATCTATTTTAAATACACCAAGCATGACTTCCTGCACTGTTTCATTGGTCTAGCTGGTAACTGGAGAAACATGTCTTACATCATCATGGACAAACCTATGGTTTCCATAATGAATTGTCTTTACTGTCCTTGAGCTTGTGTGCAAGTCAACAATTCTTGCTAACGGCAGTACTTTTGCTCTGTGGATTATTTCCAACCCATTAAAGAGCTTACCTGCATCGCTTCAATCTCATGCATTACTACTGAATATTCATTCATTGTACCCAGTCACGGTCACTCTCTTCGGCCCGTACCTATACTCATATTCTCTGCTCCTCACTCATCATGCACCCACCCATCCACCTAACCTTCCATCCACTCCACCCTTTGTTTGGCACTGGTATTACAATGATGAATGAAACAGTCCCTGCCTCAGAGGAGCTCCCGACCTGGTATAGAGTAGATAAGTCAACAGAAACCATAGGAAGGCATCCTATGCCATGCAAGAAGTGAGATGAGGCTACAGGGAGCACCGAAGAGGGCCCCTCCTGCTGCAGTGGGCAGATGGTTGCCCCTATCACAAGAAGTACTGCCATTTCCAGTACTACATTTCCATTTTTCTGTCACTGTACTCAGAAATTATTTCTTGACTTGCACTGTATAAGACAGGTATAGAGAGATGCCCACAGTAGGTAGTTATTACCTGTTTCTCTTTGTATCTGTATTCAGTCATTCCTTGGAACTAAACAAGTATATGTATTTCACAATTAGGACAGTGGTCCCCAACCTCTTTGGCACTAGCGACCAGTTTAGTGGAAGACAATTGCTTTACAGACCAAGGTGAGGGGGATGGTTTTGGGATGATCCAAGCACATTAGGGTTATTGTACACTTTTTTTCTATGATTATTACACACTCATTATAATGTGGGAGCCCTGAGCTTGTTTTCCTGCAGTTAGACAATCCCATCTGGGGGTGATGGTAGATAGTGACAGATCATCAGGCATTAGATTTCATAAGGAGTGCGAAACCTAGATCCCCCACATGTGCAGTTCACGGTAGGGTCCGCACTCCTAAGAGAATCTAATGTCACACTGATCTGACAG